CTCAAAAGCAATTCCAGTTCAATTTATTTAGTCATTCTTGTATGTCGCCACAGTTGATCTATGGCGATTAAATTTATGTTCTAAGAAGCACTCAAAGTAGATAATAAAATTAAGAAAGATTTTTTTTTAATGTAATAAAGATAACCCATTTTGACAATCAGAATTCATGGACAGCTTGGCCATTGGCTGGAATTCAAATTATATTACCAATACAGTTGAAAGGCACCAGGTAGGAAGCTTCCAGTTAAAGGCACATAAGCCCTGCTAAGGAAAAAAAAAGCCACTTTATTAGCCTTTATTATTATAATTATAGAATTATAATGATAGAATTATAATAATTATGTTTCCTCCAGTGTTCCTATTCCTTAGGAGAGCTTTCGCATACAAATTGGCTTTTTCCTGCAGCCCAATTTCCCAAAATCCTGGAATAAGCGTGTCCTTCTGATTATCTTGTACTTTGCATCCATAAACAAATGACTGCAAATGTCTTAGTTTGATCAGCTTATTGATCTCATGCCTGCTTTATGGAACAAAGAATTCCCTCCACTTGCAAACAGGGGCCAATCTGAGCAGCAATGCATTGATGGTTCTACAGGTAGTCCTCAACTTACAAACACAACAGATATCATTAAGTGGTGCAGGCATGAAGTGAGTCATCCCATAACCACAGCCAATTGCACAACTGTTTTTGCAGCGGTTGTTAAGTGAAACATCCCAGGACTTGCAGTCTTCCCTGCCCGCTTCCCCGTTGACTTTGCTTGTCGGAATCCAGCTGGGAAGGTCCCAAATGGTGATCCCACGACACTGCAGCTTTTGTAAATGACACGGCCCTGTCGCAAATCGTCATCACACAACCGCAGGGACACTGTGGCAGTCGTAACTGCAAGGACCCCTCAGCACTCTTGTAACGCCAAACAGTTGCTAAACGAATGATCAGAAGTCTAGGAGAAGAGCAAGCTGAGCTGGAAGGCGGGCCTGTAGTCATTGTGTTGCCCCAAGAGATTTAAGTCCAGCCCTCTGTGGCTGACTAGATCCTTTTTTTAAAAAAAAATATTTTATTGATTTTTTAACATAATCACCTTAATATTTGGTAAACAGCGTGTTGTCTGGGTTTATATTTTAAAAAAAAACAGTCAATAACAATTAGTTTCTATAATTCTGGCCACCTAATGAGAAGGAAGGACTCACTGGAGAAGAGCCTAATGCTGGGAAAGATGAAGGGCAATAGAAGAAGGGGACGACAGAGAATGAGGCGGCTGGAGGGAGTCACTGAAGCAGTAGGCGTGAGCTTCATTGGGCTCCAGAAGATGGTAGAGGACAGGAAGGCCTGGAGGAACGTTGTCCATGGGGTCGCGATGGGTCGGACACGACTTCGCAACTAACAACAACAGTTCTGTAATCCCTATAGTAGCTTTGCTTGATTTTCTCTTCTTCCAATAATATTCTCTTTTGCCAACCTTGAATAGTCAGTGTGACCGACTAGATCAGGGGTAGGCAACCCAAAACATTTAAAGAGCCACTTGGACCCGTTTCCCACCAAAAACAAAACACTGGGAGCCACAAAACCCTTTTGATATCTAAAATGAAGATAACACTGCATATATCCTTTTTTACCTTTATTATAGGTGTGTGTGTGTTTTTGTGTGTTTGTGTGTTTGTGTGTGTTTGTGTGTATGTGTGTGTATATATGTACACACACACACACACACACGTAAAAAAAGGATATATGCAGTGTTATCTTCATTTTAGATGTCAAAAGGGTCTCTCTCTCTGTCTCTCTCCCTCCCTCCCTCCCTCCCTCTCTATCTGCCCTTGGTCTGCCACTCCTTTTCCCCCGCTCTCTTTCTTTCTCTCTCTTTCTCTCTCTCTCCCTCCCTCCCTCTCTCTCTTTCTCCCCCCCTCTCCTATCTGCTGCTCACCTGGCAAGCTTCAAGCTGTTGTCCAACAAGCTCAGGGGTAGACAACCTCGTCTCTTTTATGACTCATGGACTTCAACTCCCAGAATTCCTGAGTCAGCCTAGCTGGGCTAGCTAGCTCTCTCCTGCCCTTCCTGCTTCCTGCAGAGACGCAGCAAAGGGAGGAGCTCTGCCCAGTAAGCTTTTCAGCTCCTCGGAGAACACTGTGAGTGCACTCCCTTTTACACACACACACACACACACACACACACACACACACACACACACACACACACGGGGGGGGGGGCAGGGAAGCGCAATTGCCTTTCTCTGTTTCTGTCTCTCTCTGCAAAGGCAGAGGAGGCTGGGAGCCACAGGGGAAGGCTCAAAGAGCCGCATGTGGCTCCGGAGCCGCAGGTTGCCGACCTGTGGACTAGATCCTTCTATGAGAGATAGGAACAATAAACTCTTCTCTTCTAGATTAATGCCAGGTGCAAATAACCAGAAACCTTAGTTGAGTTCAAGGTACAGAAGAGTTTATTACTGCTACCTCTAATGCAAGAATTTAGTCAATGGTTAATGGTCAAATCTGAATGGCTGCTAGATAAGGGTTAACGGAATAAATGCGGGGGAGGGCTGGAATTAGGTCTCTTGGGGCAACGCAATGACTCTACACTAATGACATGTTTAACCCCACCTTCCAGATCAGCTTGCTCTTTACTTACATAAATAAAGGACTACCTCACATGAAGTATTAGTATCACTTCACAAAGCCTTAGTACGGCCACACTTGGAATACTGCATCCAGTACTGGTCCCCGCAATATAAAAAAAGATGTTGAGACTCTGGAAAGAGTGCAGAGAAGAGCAACACAAATGATCAGGGGGCTGGAAATTAAAACACATGAAGAATGGTTACAGAAATTGGGTATGTAGTCTAATGAAGGAATAGGGGGGGTGACATGATAGCAGTGTTTCAATATTTGAGGGGTTCCTACAAAGACGAGGGGAATCAAACTGTTTTCCAAAGCACCGAAAGGCAAGACAAGAAAAAAATGGGTGGAAACTAACCAAGGAGAGAAGCAACTTAGAACTAAGGGGAAATTTCCTAATGGTGAGAGCAATCAACCAATGGAATGGCTTGCCTTTAGAAGCTGGGGGGGGGGGCTTTCAAAAAGAGACTGGAAAACAATTTGTCTGAAATGGTATATAGCAGTGATGGTGAACCTTTTAGAGACCGAATGCCCAAACTGCAACCCAAAACCTACTTATGCTGGGTGGTGGGTGGGCATGGCCCATTGGATGGGTGCTGGGTGGGCATGGCCCATTGGATGGGTGTGGCCAATTGGGTGGGTGTGGCTGCGGTGGTAACAACAGACTGGATGGGACTAAAAAGTTCAATCAATCAATTCCAACTTTGCGAGATCTTTTTTTTCCTGAGAGAAGTTGAAATTGATTGATTGAACCTTTTTTTTTTTTTGCACATGGGGGTGGAGGCCTAAAGCAAAATGGTTTTATAAAACCCAGCTGAAGGCCTAGGACTGGGGTGACGGCATGTGTGCCCACAGAGAGGGCTCTGAGTGTCACCTGTGGCACACGTGCCATAGGTTCGCCACCATGGGTATATAGCAGGGGTAGGCAACCCAAAACATTTAAAGAGCCACTTGGACCCGTTTCCCACCAAAAACAAAACACTGGGAGCCACAAAACCCTTTTGATATCTAAAATGAAGATAACACTGCATATATCCTTTTTTACCTTTATTATAGGTGGGTGTGTGTTTTTGTGTGTTTGTGTGTTTGTGTGTGTTTGTGTGTATGTGTGTGTATATATGTACACACACACACACACACGTAAAAAAAGGATATATGCAGTGTTATCTTCATTTTAGATGTCAAAAGGGTCTCTCTCTCTGTCTCTCTCCCTCCCTCCCTCCCTCCCTCTCTATCTGCCCTTGGTCTGCCACTCCTTTTCCCCCGCTCTCTTTCTTTCTCTCTCTTTCTCTCTCTCTCCCTCCCTCCCTCTCTCTCTTTCTCCCCCCCTCTCCTATCTGCTGCTCACCTGGCAAGCTTCAAGCTGTTGTCCAACAAGCTCAGGGGTAGACAACCTCGTCTCTTTTATGACTCATGGACTTCAACTCCCAGAATTCCTGAGTCAGCCTAGCTGGGCTAGCTAGCTCTCTCCTGCCCTTCCTGCTTCCTGCAGAGACGCAGCAAAGGGAGGAGCTCTGCCCAGTAAGCTTTTCAGCTCCTCGGAGAACACTGTGAGTGCACTCCCTTTTACACACACACACACACACACACACACACACACACACACACACACACACGGGGGGGGGGCAGGGAAGCGCAATTGCCTTTCTCTGTTTCTGTCTCTCTCTGCAAAGGCAGAGGAGGCTGGGAGCCACAGGGGAAGGCTCAAAGAGCCGCATGTGGCTCCGGAGCCGCAGGTTGCCGACCTGTGGTATATAGGGTTCCCTGTTTGAGCAGTGGGTTGGACTAGAAGACCTCCAAGGTCCCTGCCAACTCTATTATTCTATGTCAGGGGTAGGCAACCGGCGTTTTTATGACTTGTAGACCAACTCCCAGAATTCCCGAGTCAGCCATGCTGAGGAGAAAGGGAGAGGTTTCCAAGCTGAGCCATGCTGACTCAGGAATTCTGGGAGTTGAAGTCCACGAGTCATGAAGTGGCCTAGGCCTAGGCCAGAGATAGGCAACCTTGGCTCTTTTATGACTTGTGGACTTCAACTCCCAGAATTCCTGAGCCAGCATGGCTCAGCTTGGAAACCTCTCCCTTTCCCCTCAGCATGGCTGGCTCAGGAATTCTGGGAGTTGAAGTCCACGAGTCATAAAAGAGCCAAGGTTGCCTACTCCTGTTCTGTGTTCTATGAATTGATATTATGGAACATTTTCTCCCAGACGGCTTTCCAACTTTGATCAATCAGCTGGAGGTCTAAAATCTACTAGATTAATCTTTCCCCAGCTTGTCACTCCAATTTGGTAAAGTACAAAGCTTGGATTTCTGAGTTTCATGATGGCTTTTCAGCCGTGCTTTCCACCATCCTGTGTTTCATCTCCTCTAAATAACAACACTCCTTTCTCCCTAGGTGTAGCCGAACAGTTTGCCATTGCCGAGGCCAAACTCAGAGCCTGGTCGTCCGTGGAGGGGGATGACTCCAACGATGAGTCTTACGATGAAGATTTTCCTACTTCCGGTGAAACCGCCCAAGCAGCTGGTAAGTGAAGAGACCTGATGTCTCTGTTAAATTGAAAGTAAACAGGAGGCTGCCAGAATGGAGCAACTTGGCACGGCCAATTCGCCACGGCCCATTTGCTGTGGCCAACTTGCAGCAGGACCACTCTCCGTGGCCGACTTGCTGTGGGACAACAGTTCGATTTAAGTATTTAAAGTAATTTTAAAAAATATCTTAATTTTTGTCCTTCGCATTTCATTCTGTCCCTCCGTTTGCGTCCTTTCTTTAATGGTTCTATTCCACCATTCCTTCGATGTTAGTGTAACTCAGGGGTCTTCAGACTTGGCCCTTTTATGACTTGTGGACTTCAACTCCCACGCCTGGCTGAGGAATTCTGGGAGTTGAAGTCCACAAGTCATAAAAGGGCCAAGTTTGAAGACCCCTGTCTAAGGAGAATTCAAATTAGTCCTCTCTATCAAATGTGGGCAAGAGACAGAGGAAGTGCCTGGATGAGCCCCCTAAATCTTTTCGGGTTGTGGATGTGTTCCTGATAGGGATGGGGGGGGGGGGTTGCCAATGCAAAAATTCCCTACCACACGCAAAAAAAAGATGTTGCTAACTTACCTCATGGTTTCAACTTACCTCATGGTTTAAAAACTGAGACCCCTGCCTTAGATCAGTGGTGGTGAACCTATGGCACGTGTGCCAGAGGCAGCACTCGGAGCCCTCTCTGTGGGCTCGTGCACTGCCAATGCAAAAATTCCCTACCACACGCAAAAAAAAGATGTTGCTAACTTACCTCATGGTTTCAACTTACCTCATGGTTTAAAAACTGAGACCCCTGCCTTAGATCAGTGGTGGTGAACCTATGGCACGTGTGCCAGAGGCAGCACTCGGAGCCCTCTCTGTGGGCTCGTGCACTGTCATCACAGCCCCGCCTCCCCGTGGCCCCCTCCTCACTAGCAGAGGAGAGTCGCCCCCAGGTGCGGCCCACGTGGAGCAGCGCAGCCAAGGACATAGCAGCTGGGCAGCAGGGAGAAGACTCGTGCCCCATCGCGTGCTGATGCTGCTGCAGGGCACGGGCGGAGGGCGTGGCCGCCATGGTGCTGCTGGACCGCCTGGGCAATCTGCGGCGGGCCGTGGAGGCAGTGGGTGGCCCTGCAGGTGGGCGAGATGGGGGTGGGGCAGGGGGCGGGGCAGGGGCAGAGGCAGGAGGGGGCTGGGACGTTTTTGGGCCCTCGGTCTCTAAAAGGTTCACCATCACTGCCTTAGATAGTGGAGCATTGCTATCATGTCACCCCTAGTCCTTCTTTTCACTAAACTGAAATGCTGCATTGCTAACCACTTCCCTCTTGGTTGTTGTGTTGCAGATGCAGTGGGCCAGCTCCCCACCAGCACCCTCTTGAAAGGTTTCTTGCACAGCCGCCTGTGCCACCTGAGTTCCCGACAGGGTTCTTGCGACCCGGAAAGCGAATCCTCTCAATCCACCATCTCCCCAGAGACCTTGTGCTCCAGTCTCTGCAGCCTTGATGAGAGCTTCCTTCTCAAGGAGTTGGGCTCCCCTTCGGAACTTGCCGCCAAACTGCTGGGCTCCATGTCCGGCGGGGAGGACGTGCTGCTGTCCAAGCCCACACAGACTCCCGGAGAATGTGCCTTCCGGAGCCTGGCACACCTGGAGTGCCAGGACTCTATGTACTCCATGTCCTTCACCGAGTCCTGCCTCTCGCCCACGGAGGAGGAGGGCCTTCCGTGCAAGGACTACAAAGTCCACGGGGACAGCTGCCAGGTCCGGAGAAAAGTCTCCGATGTGGCCTCCTCCGGCGTGGTGTCGCTCGACGACAACGAAGATGACGAGGTTGACGAAGACCCGGAGGAGGACACCAAAGAGCCGTGAATCCCGCTCCGTTCCGTGGCATGCTTCACCTGCCATTTTGCCCCGCTCCATGGCACCTTTCGTCCACCCAGCTCCACGGCCCATCAGTTGTCTCAGCGGGATGGTTCCTCCCCCTCTGGATGAATGAAGGCAGCATGGGCAGGAGTGGCGGGTTCAAAAGCTCCCCCTCCCAGGCCTTCCTGAGCGCCACGACGCCACCATTTAAGCCTCAGGAGTTGCTTAGCGGCTTCGTGGATTTTGCCTGCTGCATTTTTCTCTCTTTTTCTCTCATGGCCTGTTTTGTTTCCTTTGCATGGGAATGTCTTCGGGGCAGGGTGAGGACGCCGAGCAAAGAAGGGCGACGCTGGTGGGAGTCACCACAACTCAGGGGAGGCTCGGGGAACACTGGGCGAAATCCAGTCGTGGTGCCCCGGGAATCAGAGGGGCCCTCGTGCGCTGTCCAGGTGGCATGGCTAACGCTCTTTTAAGCCAAAATCATTTCTCTTCTTCAGACTACGAAACTCGACAGACGTTCGAGATTACCTGTATGCCCCCTTTCCCAACCCGGCTCCTGTGGTTTGTGGCAAAGAGCTGAAACGGGACGTGAAATGCAACAAGAATGTGCGATTTGTTATGCTTTTTTTAAAAAAAGAAAAAAAATCAAGAAAAAAAAAATCCACCCCAGCCCAAAGGGCAATCCTTGGCTTTATTGTCTCAGATTTTATACTGTGGACCCATTGGAAGAAAGCAGGGAAAATGGGGGGGGGGTGGAGATGCCCCAGTGTGTGCCGATTTGCTCCATTTCCCCCCTCCCTCATCTCTTTGGAAAGGAAGCAAAGAGCACGAGCTGAGTCCACATGACCTTGTTCCAGATCTTTTCTATAGTTTTGTACGTGTGTCTCCATGTTCTGTCTTTCCGGGATTTGGTGCCCCTACATGGATGGGTTTCCTTAGGGTACCCTTTCCCCTGCTCTGCTCTCCCATCGTGGCTCATCTAGGTTGGGAATGCTATGATCTTTACCTATTCCCCTTTGCCTTATGGCAGTGGCTTTCAACCTCAGTCACTTTAAGATGTGTGGACCTCAACTCCCAAAATGCCTCAGTCTTGGCTGGCTGGGGCATTCTGGGAGTTGACATCCACACATTTTAAAGTGATTGCAGTTGAGAAGCATGAGTGTCGCTCTTCCATACGGCCTCTTCTGGCCTCTCACCTCTTCTCCAACCCTACATTAAGTGGATTTGGATGGTGCAACATCACCAACCAGTCACAGTGATGTCATGAATGCTAAGTCATCATTGCAGGGACGGTATAGATCTGCATCATGGTTTGCTGGGATCGGACCTCCATGAATCTTGAGATAACAAGGACTTTGACCTTGCTGGTTGGGAATTTGGGGGTGTTAGGTCCCCACTCTAAACTCTAGAGCAGAGGTGTCAAACTGCTGGCCCATGGGCCGGTTGCATCATACAGAGGCCGCATCCACCCTAGCTCCAGCAATGCAAAAAGAGTTGTGATACGTCGCAACACGTCACGTGATATGGAGAGTTTGACACCCATGCTCTAGAGAGCATCAGGTAAAGGAGAGCTGATCAGCCCCCTAAGGATCCAAATCAGTTTTATCCTGACCTAATTGTCACAGCTTCTTTGAAAGGTTTCTGGGAATTGTAATTTGGTAAAAGGGTTGAGAATACAGAGATAAAATCCTAAGGTTGTCCACACAGCAGTTTTAGCAAAGTTTTTTTGGGGCAGAAGGATGATTAAATCAGTTGGAGAGCTACTGGGTATATTTTCCCAGAAAAAGTCCCATCAGCACCAATATTCGGGCATCTGACTTGGATAAAAAGATTTGAATAACAAGGTTGTCAACAGGATGTGGTTGTAAAAGTCAAGATGGCAACCTTGATGTTATTGAAGATCTGATTTGTTTATGTCATTGCAGCTGCCATCTTGACTTTTCTGACCACACGGACATAAACACAAACTTATTGCCTTCTGGACTTTTGAGATCACATCCTGAGGACACCCTTGGCTGGACCGTAGTTGCTGTCTCGATGTCTCTTAACCCAGTGCTTCCCAAACTTGGATAAATTGCTCATACTTGGGTAGATGTGGTTTTTCTTTGAGTAGTGACACACAAATCTATTACCCAGTCACAACAGGGACCTTTAACTAAGGATGTTCTGATCAACAATAATAAGAACTTTCTGAAAAGAGATGTGTAATGGAGGAAAAAGTTTGGGAAGCCTGTCTTAGAAAGACATTGGGAGAAGTTCTTCCTAGTTTTACTCTGGCCATTGCCCAACTCTTTGTAAATTACATTTTCCACCAGGTGGGGTTACTGAATCTTGTAAGATCCAGAGCTGAATAACAGAATTTGGAAGGGACCTTGGAGGTCATCTAGTTCAACCCCCCGCTGAAGCAGGAGACCCTATACCAGACCCTATACCAGGGGTAGGCAACCTTGGCTCTTTTATGACTCGTGGACTTCAACTCCCAGAATGCCTGAGCCAGCACAGCTGGCTCAGGAATTCTGGGATGTGAAGTCCACGAGTCATAAAAGAGCCAAGGTTGCCTACCCCTGCCCTATACCATTTCAGACAAGTGGTTGTTCACTCTCTTCTTTAAAAAACTCCAGTGACGGATCACTCACAACATCTGGAGGCAAGCTGTCCCACTGATTAATTGTTCTCACTGTCAGGAAAGTTCTCTTCAGTTCTAGGTTGGTCCTCCTCTCCTGGATTGGTTTCCATCCATTGCTTCTTGTTCTGCCTCGGGTGCTTTGACTCCCTCTTCTTTGGGGCAGCCCCTTCTCAAATGTCTTCAGAGCAGATTGCCTAAAATAGCTCTTTTGATCTGAGAAGAAGGAATGTGACTGGTGGGAGGACCATCAAGGACTAGTCTGTCACCACAGTTGATGTTCTTCTAATGAGGGAGAGGTTGTAGAGAGCAGGGTGTAGGGAGGCTATTGGGGGAAGCCTTGGATCACTCAACTATTCATGGGAATTAAATAACTAGTCATGGGGTGGCTTAGTGTCCCAGTTATTCCAGCAACTCCAAGACGTCATAGTGATTGGAAAAGTTGGGTTTTTTTCCCCCCAACCACCTGGTAAGGCTGGAGAGCTTTCGATTGGCTCAGGGATGAAAGGAGAGTTTAGTCTCACCATGACTCCTCCACCTGAAGTGCAGCAAGGCCTAGACAGGTGGTCACGGGTGAGTAGGGGCTCTTCACCAGAAGACCCGAAGGCCACTAGGAAGTAGGGTGAGATGGGGAGGGAACAAAAACGTGTCTCGTTCAAGAACCTCCCTTGCTAAGCCCATCTTCTCCTGCATCGTTTGTGCAACACCAGTCCATTCGGTGGCACAGTCGCACGTACCCCTCCCTACACCCCCCCCCCAAAATCTCTGTACGGACTCCTGTCTTGCCTCCCCCTTGATGCCTGAAGAAGCCGAGGGCATCCCCTTCTCCTTTACTCCCTCCCCCTCACCTCTCTGATCCTTGCATTCCTATGTCCCAGTCCAAATGCACAGTATTGTTTCTGTGGTGTCACTATTTTCTCACCCAACTTGTTCCTGATGTATAGCCTGGCCTGGTACGAGTGTCTGTTTCATTTTCTTTGTATCTGTAAATTCATTAAAAAGGTGGTTCTACCTGATCGGGCTGTGTTTTGCTCATTCTTTCCTGTGCCTTGCTTCCGACAGCTTTGTTTCTTCCCGTCCCTGCCTTCCTGGATTTCTTTTGGAGTACAGGTAGTCCTCAACTTACAACAGTTCATTTAGTGACTGTTCAAAGTTGCAACCGCACTGACAAAAGTGACTTATGACTCTTTCACACTTACGACCTTTGTAGCATCCCCATGATCGTATGATCAAAATTCAAACGCTTGGCGACTGACTCATACTTATGACCGTTGCGGTGTCCCGGAGTCATGTGATGCCCTTTTGTGACCTTCTGACAAGCAAAGTCAATGGGGGGGGGAGCCAGGTTCACTTAACAACCATGTTACTAACTTATCAACTGTAGTGATTCACATAAAACCTGTGGCAAGAAAAGTGATAAAAACTCACTAATAGATGTCTCACTTAAGGACAGAAATTTTGGGCTCCATTGTGGTTGTAAGTCGAGTACTACCTGTATCTAGTATGAGTGTTTGGTATCTCCTTTTATTCTTTTTTTTAATGTAATTAAAAAAATGTAATTCAGTTTGGCTGAGGCTGGTGGATTTGACACTTTCTACTAATTGTGCTTGCGTTGTGTGCAACCAAGACTCTGCAACCAGAGATGTTCACTGGTTATGGTCCAAAATGTCAAGATGACAACTGTGATGATTGTCATCCTGACTTTTGGTCCATCGTCTTGATTTTGGGGGCCATTATCCATGGACATTCCTGTCTGCAATGGAGAGCCACACTTGGCTTTTCAATGGCCTACAAATGTCGCATTCCCCAAAAGAGTGGGCGGAGCCAGGATGAAGATTACCTGTGATTTCCTTTCCATGTAATTAACATTAAACACTGTTCATATGTCAATTCTCTAGTCATCGATTTACTTATTTCCCCCGCCTGTCCCGTTTTCCATTGCAAGTCGTAAGCCACAATTGATTGTCTCTGAGATCCACTCCCCATGGTTTGTAGAGACTGCATACAGCCAAACTCTGTAGCTCAAAAATGGGAAACTAGGTATAAATAAAAGAAAGGTATTTGGTCTTTCTGCTGGTCATTTTGTGAGAATTGGGGTAACTAAGAGAGGGAAGATTTCAGGGCATTGCGCAGCCAGTGTTCAAATGAAGTCAGAGACGCTGACACAGACTTGTAGTTTTATATAAATAAATATATTTTATATCTATATTTACAGCCAATAAGATAGTCGTGTAAACAGGAGCATCGTGAGGTAAATCACAGAGCAAACATGGCACACAGAAGAAAAAAGGTGGGAAAAAAAGGGAAACTCCCCTTCCACACCCACAGCAACCAATCGCAGTGCAGATTGCCTCACGCAGATTGCCTCACGCAGGAGCCAGCACTCTCCAACCAATTGACCACAACTGTGTGTTCTGGCTCACTACACAACCCTTCACTGCTCCAGCTACTAAATTTAAATATCTTAACAATGGGCATTGGATCTTATATTCTGAGGGCTTTTCATAGTCAGGGAATTAGGCAGCAGGTGTTTGAATGAAGTCAGACGCTGACACAGATTTGTAGTTTTATATAAATAAATATATTTTACATCAAACAAGATAGTTAGGCAAACAGGAGCATCATGAGGTAAATCACAGGACATACATGGCACACAAAACAAAAAAAGGCGGGGAAAAAAGGGAAACTCCCTTCCACACCTATAGCAACTAATCACAACATAGATTGCCTCAAGCAGGAGCCAGCACTCTCCGACCAATCAACCACAACTGTGTGTCCAGGCTCACTGCACAACCCCACTGCTCCAGCTACTAAATTGTTAAATATCTTAACAGAAGGTTTCCATGCACCTCGGCGTCTAGTCATGCCGACCACATAAGCATTGAAGTATCTTCTGACAAAGCTGGGTCCCTCATCTAAAACATGGAGATGATCACCTTCCCCTAGAGTTGAACAACTGGATAAGGGAAACCTTTACTTGTTTTTTTTTTAAGAGATGGATAAATCTATGGTTTGCTTTAGGGATGACTTGAAAGAGTCAGAAAGGGAAAGTATTCTGAAAAAATGATGGAACCCAGATTAGACTAATAAATAAGAAGGCTCCACACCCATTTGCACCACTCAGGTGACCCTGAGGACACAGGTAAATCTCCAAGTGGCCTCAACGGCTCTCTAAAAGAAGGCAAATGATCAGCTGTCTGCAAGGAGTATAAATCCTTCCATTCCCCACCATCCAGTCAGAGCTGAAGAAGCTTCTTGGATGAGAAGCGAAAGGTCTTCAAAGGAAAAACAAGGAAGTCCTGTTGTCTCTTGAAAAAGCACTTTGGGGGCAAGTAGTCCTCAACTTACAACCGCATTTGGGGCCAGAATTTCCATTGCTAAGACAATTGTTAAGTGAGTCACATCTCACTTTATGACCTCTTTTGCTAAGTGAAAATGGCTAAGTGAATCACTGCAGTTGTTAAGTGAATCCTGTGGCCGTTACGTAAATCCGGGTGCTCCCATTGACTTTGCTTGTTGGAATCTGTCTGGGAAAGTCACAAATGATTATTAATGACTCCATTTATGATGCGTTGCAAACGTCATAAATAAATGCCGGATGTTAAGTGCCTCAATTTTGATCATGTGACCAGATGGGATGCCATGAGGGTCATAAGAGTGAGGACTGTAAGTCACTTTTTTCCAGTACTGTTGTAACATAGAGCGGTCACTAAATGAATGGTTGTAAGTCAAGGACTACCAGTATGGGAAAACTGGAATCCGAGTGCGACTATTCACACATGCATAAAAATCCCGAGAGCAACAAACAATCATTTGTATGTGCGAACAAGCTATCACACAAGCTAAATGGAATTGACATTTTGCTTTCCATTACCTCAACCTCCCTTATTTCCTCGGTTGGTTCTCAGAGAGCCTGGGAATTGTAGAGTTGAAAAGGAGACCATCGACTCCAAGTGACACAGGATTCGTGCTGGCATCTGAGTGACAACATCACTCCCAGATGGAGGCATGGCTTCTGCTTGAATTCAGTGTGATGCAGCTGCCAAAAAGGCCAACACAGTGCTGGGCTGCATTAACAGAGGGACAGAATCAAGATCACGTGAAGTATTAATGCCACTTTACAATGCCTTGGTAAGGCCACACTTGGAATACTGCATCGAGTTTTGGTCACCACGATGTAAAAAAGAGGTTGAGACTCTAGAAAGAGTACAGAGAAGAGCAACAAAGATGATTAGGGGACAGGAGGCCAAAGCATATAAGGAAAGGCTGCTGGAATTGGGTATGTCTGGTTTAATGAAGAGAAGGACGCGGGGGGACAGGATAGCAGCGTTCCAATATCTCAGGGGCTGCCACAAAGAAGAGCTATTCTCCAAAGCGCCTGAAGGCAGGACGAGAAGCAATGGATGGAAACTAATCAAGGAGAGAAGCAACCTAAAACTAAGGAGAAACTTCCTGACCGTTAGAACAATTAACCAATGGAACAATCTGCCTCCAGAAGCGGTGAATGCTCCAACGGCAACACTGGAAGTTTTTAAGAAAAGACCAGATAGCCCTTTGTCTGAAATGGTACTATAGGGTTTCCTGCCTGAGCAGGGGGCTGGACTAGATGACCTCCAAGGTCCCTTCCAAGTTTATTATTATTGTTGTTGTTATTATTATTATTATCATCATCATCATTATTATCATCATCCAATAAAGGAAAGGGCAGCTGGTTTTGCTGGTTGTCTGCTCTTACTATGAAGAAGATTCGTCTAGCATTCAGTCAAAGCCTAAATTCCTGTAACGCAAATTCCCTGGTCCGTATCCTGCATTCTGGAAAGACAGAAGAAGACCTCTTAAGGTCTCTCAGGGGACGTCCCCTGAGGTCTTCAGAAAGCGATAGCATGTTCTTCCTTGTCTTTTCTCCAGATCAAATATTTCTGCCCCCTGCAGTTTCCAGAGATCTTAGTTCCTCATCCCTGATCATTCTCAGGATCTCTTCCAGTTTAAAGAGTGGTCCAATCTGGGTCGGTCACCAAGGCCACAGATTTCATCTTCTGCACTTTTGGACTCCTGCTGGAGCCCATCCTCAGGGAATTTCTCTCCAGCTGCTTGGATTTTGGATCCTGCAACATGATTTGAGATTTTTAAGAAGAGACTGGCTAGTCACTTGTCTAAAGGATATAGAGCAGGGGTGTCAAACTCAATTTCATTGAGGGCCGCATCAGCATTGTGGTTGCCCTCGCGGGGGGGCGGGGGTGTGTGGCCAGGGTGGGTGCGGCCTACTGGGTGGGCGTGGATGGAGTGGGTGTGGCCTACTGGGTGGGCATGGCCAGCTCTACATCATTCGCATCAAGGGTGCCTGTGGGGCCTGGGCAGGAGTGGGACAGATCTGAGGGTCTCTGGCAGAAGGGGGTGGGACCGGGGCAAGCGCCAAAGCATGGTCCATTTCTTCATTCCTCACAAAGTGTGACACCTCCCCAGCATGCACCCAGGGGGCGGGGGCGACGCACCAGGGGCTGGTTCCTCACTGTTTCTAGACGGCCTTGTGGAGCTAAGACTGAATGTGTTTCAGCATAGATGGCCGCCACAAAATTGTACATTGGCTCCCGGCCGGACTGGACCAGGGCCAAGGCAGCGGGAGCTGTTCCCTCACTGTTTCCAGGATAGCTTCGTGGGCCACATGAAACCACTTCGCGGGCCGCATCCGGCCCCCGGGCCTTGCGTTTGACATGTCTGATATAGACAGTGGTGGAATTCAAATATGTGAACAACTGGTTCTCTGTATGGATGCCGCTTCCGGAAGTCCATTCTGGGCCTGGGCAACAAAAAATTAGCTACCGGTTCTGCCGAAGTGGTGCGAACTGGTGCAAACTGGCTGAATCCCACCCCTGGATATAGAGTCTCCTGCTTGAGCGGGAGGCTGGATTAGAAGACCTCCAAGGTCCTTTCCAGCTCTATTCTGATTCTGATTCTGAACATTATCCTGGACATGTATATTCACCTTCATCCATTAAAGCAGTGGTTCTCAACCTTTTTAATGCCGCGACCCCCGACCGGTCGTAAGTCGAGGACTACTCAACCGGTCGTAAGTCGAGGACTACTCAACTGGTGCAGCACCGTTTGCAGAATGGGACTTTTGGTGGGCTCAGCAGGGCAGAGACAGCCTGGACAATTCCTATTGGCTTTTGAAAGCCAATAGAATTAGACTCTATTCAAGAGAGTCTATTCTATTGGCTTTCAAAAGCCAATATAATAAAAGGGAGTAGCACAGCTAAGGAAAAGGGGGAAAAAATGGCGGACTGCGTTGTTTGGCGACCCCCGTGAAATGGTCGTTCGACCCCAAATGGGGTCCCGACCCACAGGTTGAGAACCACTGCATTAAAGGGTGGTATCCAGAGCAAGGCACAGTTCTCAAGGCGGCATTGGACTCAGCCAGAACAAGGGGGTGTTAATGGTTGCCTATGATGTGAAAAGTACAGGCAGCCCTTGTTTAACAGCCACAACTGGGACCAACAACTTAGTCATTCAATGAAGCAGTCGCTGATTGAAACCACAACTGGATGAGAAGCGAAACGTCTTCAAAGGAAAACAAGAACGTCCAGTTGCCTCGTGGGAAAAAAAAAAAACACCTTTGAGACAAGTTTCTCCTTCATTTCAGTTGCTCTTCTCCTTGATTAGGAAGAGTGTCACTCTGCTCTGCTTCTCCCTGTGGCTGTAACGGCAGCTCCTTATCTCGCATTCCAGCATGTGGGATGCAAAAGGACATTGCAGAAAGCCAATTATGGGCATCTTGGCTCGGCCTGCCCAAGGACGTGCCCTCTCCTCCTTGCCTCTCCACGCAGAGAGACTTGCGCACACCCAGCAGCCACTGTGGACTCCCCAAGGCCATGTCTTCACGGAGCTCTTCGTCCACTTTTCGCTCCGAGCACATCAGCACCTACACGCCGAGCAAGCATCGCTTCGAGCCTCTGCTGGACCCGCCACACGGGATCTTTGGGGCAGGGAGAACTCAGGAGCCCTATGGGTATTCAGGTAAGTGAGCACCTTTTGGGGTGGGGGAGCTCAGCTGCAAGGTATGTTCCACCTCTGCCTTGGACTTCAGAGGCAAGGTGGGCCTAGACCTCTACCTTAAATGAATGAACCTTTATTATCAAAGTATAACATGTATACCAGTGGTTCTCAACCTGTGGGTCGGGACCCCATTTGGGGTTGAACGACCATTTCACAGGGGTCGCCAAACAACGCAGTCCGCCATTTTTTCCCCCTTTTCCTTAGCTGTGCTACTCCCTTTTATTCTATTGGCTTTTGAAAGCCAATAGAATAGACTCTCTTGAATAGAGTCTAATTCTATTGGCTTTCAAAAGCAAATAGGAATTGTCCAGGCTGTCTCTGCCCTGCTGAGCCCGCCAAAAGTCCCATTCTGCAAACGGTGCTGCACCAGTTGAGTAGTCCTCGACTTACGACCGGTTGAGTAATCCTCGACTTACGACCGGTTGGGGGGTCACGGCATTAAAAAGGTTGAGAACCACTGATGCATACAGTGAGATTGGCTGGGCCTCCCTCCGTGCCCCCCAACCATCACAACTCACAGTGACTACAAACCCCCAACTTATTACACCCTGGGAGCTAATTGCACAGCACGCCGGCCTCGCGGGTCTGTCCTGCATGAAATTATTATGTCCCATTCAAGAGCCTGACAGCCCATGGATAGAAGCCGTTTCTTCAGCCTGTTGGTACGGCTGGCTATGTTTCTGTATCTCCTATCCGATGGTAGGAGAGTAAAGAGGTACCAATCAGAGTGTGAGTCATCCCTGAGAATTTTCCTCACTCTGCCAAGGCAACGGGCCCTGGCGATGTCATCCGGTGGTGTCAGGGAACAGCCCACAATGTTTTGTGCCGGGCTCACCACCCTCTGTCATATCTTCCTGTCCGCGGCTGTCAAGCCAGCATACCAAACCACGATACAGTATGTGAGAACACTTTCGATAGGAGACCGGTAGAAGAGGGCCATGAGTCGTCGTTCTACCCTGTTCTTCCGCAAGACCCTGAGGTAGTGGAATCTCTGCTGGGCCCTTCTGGCCATCTGGGCTGTATTAATTTTCCAGGTAAGATCTTCACAGAGGTAGACTCCCAGGAATTTAGAGGAGGAAACTCTCTCCACACAGTCCCCTCGGATGTAAAATGATCAAAAATTGACCAAGAGAATCCTGTTTTCTGATTTCCTGCACTAAACGAGCAATCCCTAGTTGCTATTTTACTCTGTGAGTCCCCTTCACAGGATCTGCCTCATTTGACTCTTGAATCAGCCCCTTGGGAGGGGATTCTTGAAATACGTACAGGGAGTCCTCCATTTACAGCCATTCATTTAGTGGCCATTCAAAGTTACAACAGTACTGCTGGAAAAAGTCTCTTATGACTGGGATTTTCACACATCTAACTGTTGCAGCGTCCTCGTGCTCCTGTGATCAAAACTCCGGCACTTGGCAACTGGCATAAATTTACGACAGTTGCAGCGTCCCGGATCATGTGATCGCAATTTGCAACCCCACACACAAAGCCAGTGGGGGAAGCCATGTTTCCTGAACAACTGCAGTGATTTGCTTAACAACTCTCTTGCTTGGCAATGGAAGCTTTGGGGTCAGTTGTGGTCAGAAGTCAAGGACTACCTGTGTAAGAACATGTACTATGAATTAATAGACTTCATGCAACACAGATCCAAGAGCAAATCAAATTAAGCCCATTGTGAAGGATGAATGCATCTGAGTTAATTATGGGAACTGAGTGAACCATCACTGAAATGTCTGTCAGTTTATGCAAGACATCAAAACAACTCTAAAAACAGCAGGAGGCAAGACAGGGTTAAGAAGCATGCATTTAGAGGGATTTACATGCACTAGAGGGCAGCAGGTGCTCTTTTGGCACTAGTGAAGGGCAATGTGCAGCTCTTAGAATCTGGCTTGGCGTAGTAATGAAAAAGATAACTGAGTGAGCTCTCTGCCTTAGGCACAAAAAGTTGGGGATTTGATCATTAATTACATCCCCATGCCAAAAAAACCCTTGTTGTCAAGGAGTCACTCAGCTCCCCTCTCCCCCCTCCCTCCCTCTCTCTCTCTCTCTCTCTCTCTCTCTCACACACACACACACACACACACACACACACACTTCCTTCTCTTTGCACCCTTCCCAGGCTCCCCTCCGTCGGTCCATTCCTCCGCCTTGGGCAGCAGCAACATAGTGGCCAGTGGGAACAAATACCAGGTCATCACGGATCTCAGCCAGTTTGAACCTCAAGATATTGTGGTGACTTCCTACAACCACTGCATTGTTATCCAAGCTGAGAAGGTAAGAAGGGGGCTCCTGTCAGGGCCGAGGTATGCGGAGGGGATGAAAAGGAAGCGATAGCCCAGGTCCCCCTTCCCTTCCCACAACATGTTTAAAACCCAGTCGAGGGAGGAATTTTTATGCGATTGGAATGTCCAAAGGGATGACTTGCTCTGGCCGTTAAGCAGATCTCCCAATCGCTAAAATTAGCTCCAAGCAACACCGTCACTCATGAGGCTAAGCTAACTCTGGAGGACACTTGTGTCCTGGGAATCCCCAAACCTGCCATCTTCCACATTGTTTGGCACCTCTCTCAATTGGGCTGAATTGGGCTGCAGTCTGCAAGGAGATCAAATCAGTCAAAACCAACCCTGGCTGTTCTTTGGAAGGACAGATATTGAAGCTGAAGCTCAAATACTTTGGCCACCTAATGTGAAGAGAGGACTCGTTGGAGAAGACCCTGATGATGGTGGGAAAGACAGAAGGGGAAGGGGACGGCAGAGGAGGAGATGGTTAGATAGAGTCAGTGACGCAATGAACACGAATGTGGGCAAACTCCGGGAGACAGTGGAGGTGTGCAAAAATGCAATATGACCGTGGGTGGTGCTGGCCATTGGAACAGTCTTAGTCTGCATTAACAGAGGGATAGAATCAAAATCACGTGAAGTATTAGTACCGCTTTACAATGCCTTGGTAAGGCCACACTTGGAATACTGCACCCAGTTTTGGTCACCACGATGTAAAAAAGATGTTGAGGCTCTAGAACAGACATGTCAAACGCAAGGCCCGGGGGCCGGATGCGGCCTGCGAAGTGGTTTCATGTGGCCCGCGAAGCCATCCTGGAAACAGTGAGGGAACGGCCCCTGCTGTCTTGGCCCTGGCCCAGGCCGGCCGGGAGCCAATGTACAATTTTGTGGTGGCCATCTTGGCACTTGCCCCGGTGGACCATGCCTTGGCACTTGCCCCAGTTCCACCCCCTCCTGCCAGAGACCCTCAGAACTGTCCCACTCTGCCCAGGCCCCCACAGGCACACTTGACGCGAATGGTGTAGAACTGGCCATGCCCACCTAATAGGCCACACTCACTCCATCCACGTCCACCCAGTAGGCCGAACCCACCCTGGCCACACTCACCCGGTCCCCCAAGGGCATCTGCAATGCTGATGCGGCCCTCAATGAAATTGAGTTTAACACCCCTGCTCTAGAAAGAGTACAGAGAAGAGCAACAAAGACAATTCGGGGACTGGAGGATAAAACATACGAACAAAAGTTGCAGGAATTGGGTATGTCTGGTTTAATGAAAAGAAAGATTGGAGTGACCTGATTGGGCTTCCAATATCTGAGGGGCTGCCCCAAAGAAGAGGGGGTCAACCTATTTTCCAAAGCAACTGAAGACAGGACAAGAAGCAATGGATGGAAACTAATCAAGGACAGAAGCAACCTAGAACTAAGGAGAAACTTCCCAACAGAACAATTAATGAATTGAACAACTTGCCTCCAGAAGTGCTGGGTGCTCCATCACTGGAGGTTTTAAAGAAGAAAGTGGACAACCGTTTGTCTGAAATGGTATAGGGCATAAAATGGCTCTTTTATGACTCGTGGACTTCAACTCCCAGAATTCCTGAGCCAGCCATGCTGAGGGGAAAGGGAGAGGTTTCCAAGCTGAGCCATGCTGGCTTAGGAATTCTAGGAGTTGAAGTCCACGAGTCATAAAAGAGCCAAGGTTGCCTACCCCTGGTACTATAGGGTCTCCTGCCTTGACCTCCAAAGTTCTTCTAGCTCTGTTATTCTGTTAACTTCATAACTGGGCTGTCGGTAGTTTTTCAGGCCTCCATGCAACTCCGAACAGCCCTTAAGCGACTGGCCATATGTGTTGCGTTTGCTCAGATCTTACCAATTGCCTAAGCTAATGTAGAGCAAATTAGTTTTCTCGGCCTCAATGTGCCGTATGTTTTCAAATAGCACACTTAACCTGATTACTGAACTGACTCATTTTTTAAAAGTTTGTGCCCTGCCTTAACAACACCCCTCATCAAGGTTAACTGAAGTCAAGTTTCTTCTATTATGCAAACGCATCTTCGGCTGACCTGAATTAAGATGGCTGCATAAACTTAGCCACAGAGCGGGAAAGGGGCGGGGGGGGGGAGAGCATGAGAGGGTAAAGAAGGACATGGATTGAAGACAAAGAAGGAGAGAAGATAGGAGGCAGCCATAAAAAAAAAAAAAGGAAAGAGGGACGTCTGTCTTTTCTAATTTCAATTCGGTTTATCTGCTGCTGCTGCTTTTCAGCGATGATTTATTCACTAAAAGTCATCAACACCCAAATAGGGTCCCTGCTTAGGGCACCGTTTCTCAACCTTAACAACTTTGAGATGTGTGGATTTTGACTTTCAGAATTCCACGCTTGGCTGGGAAAATCTGGGAACTGAAGTCCAGACATCTTAAAGCTGCCGAGGCTGAGAAACACGGCTTGAGGGGAGGGAGGGATCAGGGGAAGGAGAGAGTATTCACTGCTTTCACCGCTTCTGGAGGCAGGTTGTTCCACTGGTTAATTGTTCTAACTGTCAGGAAGTTTCTCCTTAGTTCTAGGTTGCTTCTCTCCATGATGAATTTCCATCTCTTGCTTCTTGTCCTGCCTTCAGGTGCTTTGGAGAATAGCTTGACTCTCTCTTCTTTGGGGCAGCCCCTGAGATACTGGAACACTGCTATCCTGTCCCCCCTCGTCCTTCTCTTCATTAAACTAGACATACCCAATTCCAGCAACCGTTCCTTACATGTTTTAGCCTCCAGTCCCCTAATCATCTTTGTTGCTCTTCTCTGCACTCTTTCCAGAGTCTCAACATCTTTTTTGCATAGTGGTGAGCAAAACTGGATGCAGTATTCCAAGTGTGGCCTTACCAAGGCATTGTAAAGTGGTATTAATACTTCGCATGATCTTGACTCTATCCCTCCTTTGATGCAGCCTAGCACTGTGTTGGCTTTTCTGGCAGCTGCAGCAAAGGCTGGCTCATATCTAAGTGATTGTCCACTAGGACTCTGAGATCCCTCTCACAGTTGCAACTATTGACCAAGGTACCCCCTATACCAGTGATGGTGAACCTTTTAGAGACCGAATGCCCAAACTCCAACCTAAAACCCACTTATGTATCATTGGGGGCTTCAAACCTGGCCCTTTTATGACTTGTGGACTTCAACTCCCACGCGTGCCTGGCTGAGGAATTCTGGGAGTTGAAGTCCACGTCATAAAAGGGCCAAGTTTGAAGACCCCTGCTATAGACTATGCCAAAGTTGGGCTCACCCACTTATGTTTGCTTGCCTTGCAGATGGCCGATGATGGCATCGTCTCCAATACCTTCACCCACAAGTGCCAGCTTCCAACAGACATGGATCCTCTGTCCGTCAGTTGCTCCCTGAACGATGCTGGCAAGTTGATCATCACGGCTAGGAGGCAACAGCTGTCCCCCTCCCCTCTGTATCGCACGGAGGTGAAACTCTAAGTGTACCCCACTCACCGCAAAAAGCACATCAGCCCACTCCCTAAAGCTCCCCATATCTATGATTGATTCTTGGTTTGATTGGTGGGCATCCTTTCTCCGTGCCATGCCATACTGTAGCGCCACGTGGCATTCGGCATGCATTCCTTCAACCTTAGATCCCATGTTCATTGGATAGAAAGAAAACCCTAGGGTAGTTCTTGACTTACGACCGCAGTTTGGACGGCAGCTTCCATCCCTGAGCAATGAATTCGTTGAGTTGTTCCTGATTCTACGACCATTTTTTTTTTTTTGCTATGGTTGGTAAACCAATCGCTGCAATTGTTAAGTGAATCACATGGTTGTTAAATGAATCAGGCTTCCCCCATTGACACTGATTGACAGAAGCTCCTGGGGAAGGTCCCAAAGGATGATCCCTTGACCCTGGGACACTGCAACTGTCATAAATAGAAGCCAGTTGCCAAGTGCCCCAATTCTGATTCCCATCAGCATAGGGACACCGGGACCGTCATAAGTGTGAGGACTGGTTGTAAAGTCACTTTTTAAACTCTGTTGTAACTTCGGTGGTTAAACATTTGAGGACTACAGTATGTGCAGCGAGAGAGAGACAAAAACAACAACAACAACCGGGTGGCTATGAAATGGCCGTGATCTTCCATTGCTGGGATATGCAAAGCAACAGCTTCTACGAAAATTTTTTTCATGAGGTCTAGATCAGTGGTTCTCAACCTTTTTAATGCCGCGACCCCCAACCGGTCGTAAGTCGAGGACTACTCAACCGGTTGTAAGTCAAGGACTACTCAACTGGTGCAGCACCGTTTGCAGACTGGGACTTTTGGCGGGCTCAGCAGGGCAGAGACAGCCTGGACAATTCCTATTGGCTTTGAAAGCCAATAGAATTAGACTCTATTCAAGAGAGTCTATTCTATTGGCTTTCAAAAGCCAATAGAATAAAAGGGAGTAGCACAGCTAAGGAAAAGAGGGAAAAAAATGGCGGACTGCGTTGTTTGGTGACCCCCATGAAATGGTCGTTCGACCCCAAATGGGGTCCCAACCCACAGGTTGAGAACCGCTAGTCTAGAAGCTCAAAGCTTGTTAGGGGATGTAGCGGGGGGGGGGGGATTTAAAATCTGGAGAGCATCTCGCAGTTAAGCTATGAGAGCTGGGCTGCAGTACCTTGGGTGGAGGATAGGTGGCAGTAAAAGTGCTCTCTCCTGCTATCTGGGAGGGTCTGGGTTGGGGGGGGGTCTTTACTGGGCAGTCAAGAAAAAAAAAACCAGATTACTGGGTGTAACTGGCTACAGAGCCCCATTAAGCCCTAGTGAGACCACACCTGGAATACTGCAGCCAATTTTGGTCACCATATCACCAAAAAGATGTTGAGAGTTTGGAAAAAATTCAGAGGAGAGCAACTAAGATGATCAAAGACCTGGAGGCTAAAACATACGAAGAACGGCTGGAGGACTTGGGTTTGGCCAGTCTAAAAAAAAGAAGAAACAGAGGAGACGGATAGCAGTGTTCCAGTATCTGAGGGGCTGCCACAGAGAAGAGGGGGGCAGGTTATTCACCAGAGCACCAGAGGGAAGGAGGAGAAACAATGGTTGGAAACTAATCAAAGAGAGAAGCAACCTGGAATTAAGAAAAAAGTTCCTGATAGTGAGGACAATTAACCAGTGGAACAGCTTGCCACCAGAAATCATGGGCGCTCCATCACTGGAGATTTTTAAGAAACTAGACAATCACCTGTCTGAGATCGTGTAGGTTCTCCTGCTTAAGGGGGGGGCTGGACTAGAAGACCTCCAAGGTCCCTTCCAGCTCTATTCTATTCTCCTAAAGTGTGACTCTGCTCCCTTCTGCTCTCTGCCAATATCCAAGAATTTTCTCGCCCCTTCGCCTTTTATTTCCCGGCATTTCCAGACCCAAAACTGGCTAAGCTCCTGTGTTACAGGTAGTCCTCGACTTACAATCATTTCATTTAGTGACCATTTCAAAGTTTCAACGGATACTTCATTGAAAGCGCAGCGGGAAAAAGCGACGTACGACTGTTTTTCATACTTACGACGGTTGCAGCATCCTTGCAGTCAAAGCGATCAAAATTCAGATGCTTTGCAACTGGCGGGGTGTTTACGATGGTCGCGGTGTCTCCCCGGAAACACGCGATCTCCTTTTGCGACGGTCTGACCAGCAAAGTCAACAGGGAAGGCAGATTCGCTTAGCAACCGCGTGACAACTTAACATCTGCGGTGATTCACTTTGTAACTGGGGCAAGGAAGGTCCGTAAAATGGAGCGAAGCTCACTGTGAACAGCTGTCTTGTTCAGCAATAGAAATTTTGGGCTCAGTTGTGGTCATAAGTTGAGGACTACCTGTATTGTTTTCTGAGAAACCTCTGAGCACAGACAGGCAGGGATGGAAAACCACCGTACTTAGAAATAAAGACGATGCTGTCTTTTGCTTACCAAATGCTTGCTTCTCTTTGTCCTTTTGACTTAAATGAAAATGGTTTTTGCCAAAAAGGGGCAGAAAATCAGGGCACAGCCAAGGGAGGGGTCTCTGGGAAGGGTCCTCTTTCTCTTTTCTCAGATGGCTTCTATCTTCTGCCTTTCTTCTCCTTCCCCCCCCCCCCTTATAAGGACTCTCCCACCCATCGTTACTGCTGGGTGCCACCGTCTCCCCGATGCCTTTCTGCAGCTTCCTCCCCTCTGTGCATCGCCTGGGCTTTTTAAAACAGGCCAGATTGTCCAGGAAATCTAGAGCAAAACATGTTTCTCAAACCCACGGATCAACCTTTCCAAACCTGGCATGGTCCAAGGATGGTGGTGAGACTGGCTGGGGATGATGGGTGCACTTCTAGAAAGGCTCTGGATGGAGTTGATGAGGTCTGGAGCCCATCTTGACTTTCTGACAGAAGGGAGGGGGGGGGAAGGAACATAGATGGAAAGAAGAGAGGGAGGAAGGAAGGAAGGAAGGGGGAGTGGGAGGGAGGGAGGGAAGGAAGATAGAAGGAAGGAAGGAAGGAAGGAAGGAAGGAAGGAAGGAAGGAAGGAAGGAAGAGAAGGATGGGTGGAAGGGAGGGAGGGTGGATGGGAGGGAGGGAGGGAAGATAGATGGAAGGAAGGAAGGAAAGAAAGAAGGAAGAAAAATGGAAGGAAGAGAAAGAAAGAAAAGGAAGGAAGGAAGGAAGGAAGGAAGAAAGAAAAAGAAGGATGGGTGGAAGGGAGGGAGGGTGGATGGGAGGGAGGGAGGGAGGGTGGATGGGAGGGAGGGAGGGAAGGAAGATAGATGGAAGGAAGGAAGGAAAGAAGGAAGGAAGAAAGAAAGAAAAATGGATGGAAGAAAGGAAGGAAAAGAAAGAGAGAGAAAGAAAAAGAAGGAAGGAAGGAAGGAAGGAAGGAAGGAAGGAAGGAAGGAAGGAAGGAAGGAAGGAAGGAAGGAAGGAAGGATACTTTTTGGTTCAAGGCAGAAATCCAGTTTATGTATATAGGGGGGAGTGGATTGGCATTTAAATTACAGTAATTAAGCTTTAAATCAACAATTTAAAAGAGACTCATTTAAATGATTAAAAGCAAGGCTGCCCGCTGATATTTTTTTCTGGGAATTGTGCTACTGAATCTTGTGACTTCATAACTAAGCAAAGGAATTATGCAGGCAACGGTTTTATTCTTGTCCTCAATCCCTGGTTTTTGTCTTCCAACACCCGCTGCAGATGATTGCTGTGTTTTGCTTTGGTGCTCACATAGTGAAAAAATACTGCTAGAGAGCTACCAAGTTGCTGCAAATGGATATGCATCTCAGGATCTCCCAAAAGATTCAAGTGCAAAGAGGGAAAATACAGAGATGGAAAAGAAATGGAGACAAAGTCCTTGTTTGTCTAACCACACTTGGCCGAATAAAACCTATTCTGTTCTATTCTATTCTATTCCTATTCTATTCTTTTTCTATTCTATTTTTTTCTATTCTGTTCTATTCTTTTTCTATTCTATTCTATTTTTCTATTCTATTCTATTCTACTCTATATTATTTTTCTATTCTATATTCTATTCTATTCTTTTTCTATTCTATTCTTTTTCTATTGTACTCTATTTCATATTTTCTATTCTATTCTATTCTTTTTCTATTCTATTCTATTTTTTCTATTCTATTCTATTCTATTCTATTCTATTCTATTCTATTCTATTCTATTCTATTCTATTCTATTCTATTCTATTCTAATTTCTCCTATTCTATTCTATTCTAATTTCTCCTATTCTATTCTATTCCATTCCATTCCGCTCCACTCTACTCTCAAAATGGGATATAATTTGTTAACCTTTCCTTTCCCTGCAGTTTAATCTCACCTAAGATACAAATAATTTAAAAGAAACTGGGCATTCTCAGTATTAAAGGTTTGAAAAAAAACCCGAGAGCAAACACATTCTGGTTTAAAATCCTAGCTGGGATCCTAAAAGATTCCAAGGAAGCAGTCTCAGTGAACAAATGACTATGTTTATTGTGGTTGTTGCACAATCAGCCAGAATTCAGACTGGATTTGGCATTTTTGTCCACGTATGGAGTCCTTCCCAAGGACCTGGGATAGGCAGATGTTGCTGTTTGTTGGTGTTAAAGGCATTGTTGCAGGATGTACGCTGTTCCATGTAAAGCTGCCTTTTGCAGTTGACCAATGGTGATTTTGTCACTGCCAATGGTGTTCAAGTGGTGCTCCGGATGTTTGGAGACTGCACCCATTATTATTATTATTCATTTATATTCATTGGCTGCCTATCTCCATTGGACTCTGGACTTCTTTCAGAACTGGAAGCACATCTCAAATATTGCTCAAGTACTGAATGGCACCGTTCTGTTTGTCCATCTGTCTGAGGGTGATGGCTAGATGTCAGTCCCTGAGTGGTCCCTAAGAGGGATAAAAATTCCTTCCAAAATGCAGACGTAAATTGCACTCCCCTATCAGAGATGATGCGTTGGGGTGCATCATCTGTAAATGTGCTGGATGAAAAGTCTTGCTAAGGCCTTTGCAGTGGGAATCTTTTGGCAAGGGATAAAGTGCACCTGTTTGGAAAACAAGTCCGTGACTGTCCAGATCACAGTATTCCCATTGCTTTCTGGCAATTCCACTATAAAATCCATGGCTATTTCCCTCCAGGGGGCTGATGGACTTGCCACTGGTTGTAACAGCCCTGGCGATTTCCCTTGCAACCTCTTTGCTGATGCACAGGTTGGGCAGCTGGCAACATAACTTTCTATGTCCTTTTTTATTGATGGCCACCAAAATTGCCATTTAATTAAGTGTAAAGTTTTTACAAATCCAAAATGTCCTGCTGATTTTGTGTCATGGCAAAGCTGCATGAACGTGATTCTTTGGGTTTTTGGTATATATAACTTTTCCCCTACCCAAGGCAACCCGTCTCTCATTGTGCACACATTTTTGTTTTTCTGGAACCATTCATCTGTTTCCAAACTTTTTCTGAATTCAATTCCAGTTTGGCTGTCCAGTTGTGGTTTTATTTTGGCTTGGGTTCTTGTGGTTACTGGTGCTGCCATTTGTGACTCTGCCATTATTGGTCTAGAGTCTGTGGTTCGTGCGCTGTTATATTGAGGCATGCGAGATAGTGCATCTGCCAGGAAGTTCTTTCTTCCTGGTAAATGTTTGAGCTTAAATTGGAACTGGTGAAAATGCTGGGACCAGCGGGCTTGTTTGGGATTGAGTTTCCTGGATGTTTTCAGGGCTTTCAAATTTTTGTGATCAGTCCACACCTGGAAGGGGATTTTGTTGCCTTCCAGGAACTGTCGCCACGTGAGTAATGCCCAACATATCCCATAAGCCTC